ACTAAATGATTTTTAAAGTCTCTTCATGCTCTATGAGTGAATCAATTGATAAATGAAAGAATAATGAATTATTAATTGAGTGCTTACTATGTGCCAGGCCTTGAGGGTACAAATACAAGAAAGTAGGTCCTACTCTTAAGGAGACTGCATTTTGATAGGAGAAGACAACATACGAAAGAGAACTAGAAAGGGGGTGGAGGATGCATGCAATCGCATGGCCGGGAAGTGATTAGAAGTCTGGTTTCAGGCAATATAAGGGGAAAATTTCACCTACAACAGCCTAGGGACCCAGGAAAGAGTCAAGGTAGTTCTGATGGGAGGATCTCAAGGAGGATGGCTGGAGTGGAGGAGGAGAGAGCAAGGTTCACAAATGTCTGGGAAGGTCTAGAAATGGCTGAGATGATCTGGAAATGGCTGGGAAGATCTGGAAATGGCCAGGGAAGATGCTACAGAGTATCAGTTTAGATAAAAATCCTCCAAAATTCCTCCAAGACTCTGCCCTGGGGGTTCATCAGAATTGTCCTGCACTTCTAAGTGTTTGTGACTGACCTTATCTGTGAAATGAATGAGTTGGACTAAGGGATCTCTTTTTTTGGTTTGTTTTTGTTTGATGCTGAAATCAAATAGATGAGAGAAGGGATTCCAGTAATGAGTTCAACAACACACGAGTGCCATGTGCCGGCACTCTGCTATACTCTGAGGTTGTTGTTCAGTAATGTTCCACTCTTTGTGATCCCATTTGGGGTTTTCTTGGCAAAGATACTGGAATGGTTTACCATTTCCTTCTCCAGATCACCTTATGGATGAGGAAACTGAGGCAAACAGAGTTAAATAACTTATCCCGGGCCACATAGCTAGTAGAGGCTGGATTTGAACTCAGCTCCTTCTGATTTCAAGCCACATATTTTATTCATTGTGCCACCTAGCTGCTACATAGGCTCTGAGGACATGAATAAAAAATTAAACAAACCCTGCCTTCCAGAGGCTTACATTCTACTGAGAGGGTAAGGATAGGTATAAAAGTATGTACAAAATGAGCCTAAGGTAATTTTGAGGGATGAGAAGATGGATCAGAAAGGACTACATGGGGCTATATCCCAAAGAGATCATGCAAATGGGAAAAGGACCCATATGTACAAAAATATTCATAGCAGCTCTTTTTGTGGTGGCAAAGAATTGGAAACTGAGAGGATGCCCATCAATGGGGAATGGCTGAACAAATTGTGGTATATGAATGTAATGGAATACTATTGTGCTATAAGAAATGATGGAACAGGCTGACTTCAGAAAAACCTGGAAAGACTTGTATGGTTTGATGCTGACTGAAGTAAGCAGAACCAGGAGAATGTTGTACACGTTGTGCGATGACTAATATTGATAAACTTAAGCCTTCCCAGCAATACAAGGATCTAAGACATCTCCAGAGGCCTTGTGATGGAAAATGCTATCCACATCCAAAAAGAGAACTATAGAAGTTGAATTGCTATTTTTTTCTCTTCTGATGAGTTTTATTTCCTCTTTATGATGGTTCCTCCTATTGGTTTTAATTTTTACTTACAACATCACTAATGTGAAAATATGTTTAATAGGAAAAAAATAAAACATTTGACTGACTTATGAAAAAAAAAGAAAAGACTACATGGAGAAAGTGGCACTTAATATGTGCTTTGAACATAATCTAAAAGATGAGGAGAGCTGCATTCCAGGCATGAAAAAGATAATTTGGGGCCAGGTCATGAAGCGCTTTAAAGGTCAAAGAGAGGACATCATATTTCATCGTAAAAGCACTAGGGAGCCATTGAAATTTATTGAGTAAGAAAGGGAAAATCATTTTGCAGAATAACTTTGGGAAAATCATTGATTGGATTGGTATGAAGGAGGGAGAACAATTAGAAAGCTAATCCATTTTTTAATTTAATTCTTAAATTAACAAGTATTTATTTTCTCTCCCTCTCATTATCCCCCCCCCACTAAAAATAAAGTATAAGAAAATACTTGTGACAAATAAATGTAGATAAGCAAAACAAAATCCCATAGTGACCCTGTCCAAAACTATGTCTTATTCTGCATCTTGAGTCCATCACTTCTGTCAGGAGGTAAGCATCATTGCCAGCACATGCCTGGTACACAGTAGGTAGTTAATCAATATTTATTGATGATGGTTAACATACTTCATCCTTGGTTTGCTGGAAGGATACTTTGCTGTTGCATCAATCGGAGTTCTTAAGTCTTTCAAAGTCCAGTTCTTGAGTTGATAACAAGATCACCTGGGGTCTCAGAACTCAAGGGGACTTTTTGTTTGAGGATTTCTGGGGTGGTTTTGTCCCAACTCCCCCTCTTGAGTACAACCACTGTATATTCACTTGGGTCTTCTGGATTGTGAATCTGGAGCTGGAAGGGATGTTCCCAGTCACATAGTCTTATTTTCTCCTTTTACGGATAAGGAAACTGAGGTCTAGAGAGGAGCATTAACTTTCCTCAAGCCACATTTTTGGAGTTCAGTTCTGCAGGGTAGTGGCAGATTAGAGTAGATCCCAATGTTCCATAGGAAGATGAAGGTGGGGCAGTTAAAGAGAGTTCTGGAATTGCCCAGGATCTAGGGCAATGTGGGTTAATGAGGTTGACATTCATGGCGGACTACAGAGAAGAGTTAGTGTCCTATTGCATTTTCCTCTGGCTGCAGGAATAGGAGCTAAGGGGAAAGCTGTTACAGAGCTGCCGACTTTCATTTTTCAGGAATTCACAGAATTCCTGTTGGAAGCAGCAAAGAGAAGCTCTGAGTGGCCCTTCCCCTGTTACAAATTGCCTTTCTGAGAAAGAGAACAGGGTTTCTGATGTACATTTCTGCCAAGGCCTTCTGCTCAAGCCTTTTAAGACTTCTCAGTACATTAAAGGCTCACATGCCTTGGTGTCTGGAATACTGTGTCACACCATTTATAATTGTTGGGTGGTTGTCCTTTCTTTCTGAAAGCAATTTCCCCATTAATACAAAGACAGCTTTAGAAATTGGTTGGTAAGAGGCAATCAATTGGATGTTTTCCCTATTGACATAAATGACTATATCTGTTGCAAATAGCAAATTCATTTAGACGGTGCTGAATTATAATCAACCTTGTCCAGCTCAGATGCTGTTAGGGTGATTACAACTGATTTCACTTTCAAAATAATTGAGGGGAAAGCTAAGCATGAAAAAGACCATGAAATGGGATGGCTGTGGTGCCATGATGTACTGGAGTGGAGGGAGAGGGTGCATGTGATGGTATTTCTCTGCTAGAAGAGGTTACAGGTGGTAGGTTTTAGCAATTCAAGGTAAACCAACAGCTGGTAGAAAAGCATCTCCCAATGCTGATTGTGGGTTAATCTTGTTGAGAATATCAGCTTCTGTGTAAACCAAAGGCTTGCTTTTAACAAAGTCATTGCCTACATTGCTTGCCTTCTAAAGGGGTTGGGGAGGGGCAGGAGAGAGGGAGAGAATTTGGAACTAATTTTTTTTAATGAATGTTAATTTAAAAAAAAAATTAATTGGGAAATATTAAGTGAAATAAAATATATATTTTTAAAATAAAATCATTACCTACCAGCATGATCCCAGAGTCCCTAAGGGATAGAGCAAAATGTACAGGGTGGGGCATAGGGTTTGTTCAGATCCAAAGCTAACCATCCAAGTATGTCTTCAGCCCAGGTAAGCCCTAGTATTCTGAAAATCCTTGGCTGTGTAGAACAAATAATCTCTTTGAATAGATCACTTATTCCCTGGGAGATTATTCAGCCATTTGCTTTTAACTTGCGATTAAACATGGCGCATTACACACTGTAGATAGTAGATAGAATGCAGGGCTTAAAGTCAGAAAGACCTGAGTTCAAATCTGCCCTTAGATACTCAATGGCTTTGTGACCCTGGTCAAGTCACTTAAACTGCCTCCTTTCCTCATTTACAAAATGTGGATAAAAATAGCATCTACCTCCCAGGGCAGTTGTGAGGTTCAAATAAGATAATATTTGTAAATCATCTTGCAAACCTTAAAGCACTATGTGAACGCTAACTATTAGCAGGAGAAAGAGGGGGAGTAATGGTAGAAGTGGTAGTAGTAGTTGCCATGGTCACTTAAGCAATAGTCAATTCAACAAGTATTTATTAAGTGCTTGCTGTGTATCAGGAGCCGGGAGACACGAAGACAAAAATGCCCTCAAAGAGTGTACATTTATACTGTTAAACTCAAATAGAAATGGATACTTGGACTGCCTATTGAATTAGAAAACCACAAATTAACATTATCTATGTTGTATTGTATTTTTTTAAATTTTGTTAAATATTTCCCAATTATATTTTATCCTGGTGAATGTTGCGAGCTTGCTAAAATGAGTTTAGTGCTACTGGTGTACATTCTATTCTGCTTGGGGTGAGGTGGAGAGGTGGTGGTGGGATATGATATGTGCTGTTTAGTCATTTTTCAGTAGTGCCCAACTCTTCATGACCCTATTTGGGGTTTTCTTGGCAAAGATACTGGAGTAGTTTGCCATTTCCTCCTCCAGCTCATTTTACAGATAAGGAAACTGAGGCAAACAAGGTGAAGTGACTTGCCCAGGGTCACCAGGCTAGTAAGTGTCTGAGGTCAGATTTAAACTCAAGAAGGGGAGTCTTTTCCTGACTCCAAGCCCGGTGCTCTAACCACTGTGCAACTTACCTGACTGTATGAGCCTTGAAGGAAACTTGAGTTCTAAGAGATAAGGGTGAAAGAGCCTATGAAAAGGATTTTGTAGATTTGTTAGTTTGGGAGCCTATTTGTTATTTTTGTTATTGTTGAACTAGGTAGTTGCCATACATATGTCTGAGTATTTTGTGCCTTGGGGGATGGGAAAATTGAGGCCAGAATAAAAGAGGCTATAAATATAACCCACCTTCAATTTTGCCAGGACCATAAAAAGAAATTATTGATAAGCTAAAGCAAGGCATTTGATGTTGCAGCTGTGATTTGTGAAATACTTTTTATCTACCTTAGGTGAAGACTGTGAGACTGAGATAAACGAATGTGAGAGTAACCCCTGCCATCACTCTGGGACCTGCATAGACCAGACCAATGGTTACATATGTCACTGCCCCCACAACTGGATTGGACCAAACTGTGAAGTCCGTAAGTATTTCTGCATCTTGTTTCCTATGATCAAATATTGAATTTGTAAGATAAGAGGTAGAGGGGAGAATATTGTTGTAGCCTTACCTGTCCTAAAATCCAGTCCTTCCATGTCTTGAAGAACAAAATTTCCATTTCATTTGAAAATGAAGTTAAGGCTTAGATCTCCAAAGGTGTACTTTCTCCTGAAGATGCTACATGTTTGTAAATCTTGGGATTTTACAATGTCAGAAAAAACTGAAATTACAAGTAACTCCAGTGGCAATGGATAGGTATGTGATAGGCATGAACAGACTAAATGGTGCCATCAATGGCTCCTTGTGCTGGACACATGGCATCAAAGCAGTACTTTTCAAGGACCATGTAACTGAAGATGGAGTTGAGTCTGTCATGGGCCACAAATGAGAGATGGCAGATAGATAACCCAAGTGATGCCCTGGAACCCCTTAAATCTTAAAAGGTTGAGAAAAAATATTTCTAGTATGTTAGATAGAGGACTTATAGGAAAATTTGAACAAGAAATGTATTGGATCAGAAAGAATCCCTACCTGTAGAAGTAGGATCCATACTGATAACCATAGATATTTCAATGCTTTCCCAATACTCGTGGCTATTTGGTTAGGAACTGTAGCTATAAAATGACACAATTCTTGAATCTCTTCATACTCCTGGGCTATCCTTGCACCATAATGCTGAGCTCCAGATTATGCTTTCTACCAGATACCTCACCCACCAGCCTAGAATCTTGGGTTTCTGATTGGTGAGCTGTCACCATTCTCAGCTTGACCTGACCACCACACTACTTTTGGTCAGACATCCCCCCACCATGGTCATTTTTCCACCGCACTACTATTTGTTGGCCATCTTCCCACCATGCTGCCTTGTCCCTCCCCCCAGGAAGCTCTGTCACTCTCCTCCCCACCCACTTTCTATTTCTCCCTTTAGGACCAGTGACCATATATCAATAGCATGGGTTAAACGGTTACTCCTGATTCTACTAATCATCCTTGTAATTTCCCCAAACAAAAAAGCCCTCCCCTACCTCCCCTCACTAATATTCATTGTCTTTACCTATTAGAATGTAAACTCCTTTAGAATAGGGACTGTCTTGCTTTTTTTTTTTACCTCCCTTACCCCCAGAGTGCTTAGCATAGTTCTTGGCACATAGTAAGTGCTTAATGCCTTTTCATTTAAAAAACTTATGTAATGCCTATTGTATTCCAAGCATTGCATAAAGTAGAGGGTGAGGTGGGGGAATACAACAGAAGAATAGTTTAAGGAATTCACAATTTTGTAATATACACTGGCTGATTTATATTTTAAGTACTATGTATAAAATCTGTGATTTTATCTCTGTAGATAATAACCTCTCTAGGGGAAGTAGGGCAAGTTAGCAGGCAGGGCTGTCAATCATTTTACTACACTCGTGTGGGAAAAATTTCACTGCTGTCTTTGGATATGTTTTTTTTTCTTTCCATTCCTTTACCTCTTCTCTATGCACTTCTGGAGGCAAAGTATATTTTTAATCCTGGCATTAGGGCTAAAGGGATTATGGATACTTAATTTTCCTACCCAGCTCCCACTGTTATTACTGACTCACTTTATTCCTAGTGATACCCCCTGGTGAAAATATTCTCTTTACTCTGAGAAGTTGTTAAAATAAATCAATAAATGGTCTCTTTCTTTTATAAGATGAGCCCCCAACCAGCTGAGCTCCAGATTTAGATCACCTTTAAACCTAGTATTCCCAGTTTAACTTCTCTTAACATTACCTTCAAGTGTTAGCCATGGTTTTAACAGCTTAGAATTAAGGCAAAACATAGATATAAAAACTTCTAAACACTAGTGCCTTAGTTAGCCACTAAGAGGGCAAGCAAGACTACTGTCTCTTTCAAGGAGGTACAGAAAATAGGGACAAGTTTTGCATTGTGGGTTGGAGTACAGCCTCTCACTGCTAGACAACCACTGATTGCCATTCTGCCTCCACATTCCCAAACTGGTTTGTTGGGCTCCCATCACTTCCTTCGGCTCCTATTTCTCTCTGCTCACTATTGCAAAGGCTGAGACATCTGTATCTTATTTTTTCTCTCCACATGGTTGTCCAAAACTTCTCAGGTCATGGTCTATCATGGGTGCCTGTCACTTCCTCAGTCTCTCATTCCCAAGGTCAAGTCCCTTTCTCAACCAGGAGACTGTCACTCCTCTATAATTGGAAACAACGTTGGACCAAAGTTCCTACACTTTGCTTCTAATTCTCATTTCCCTCTTGGCAAAGGGACATTATGCTAATTTTGAAGAATCTACTGGAGTTTATCTTTCATAAGAACCAGTCTTTGAAAACATAGGCTCACTGCTGCATCACAAGGAATTAAACTATAGTGCAGGCCAGATTTGTAAATGATAAAAAGCTTAACTTTTATTTAACATTAATGAAAAACCTCTTAGGCAGGAACCCTATGTTCTGGAACCCTAAGAGGAGATGTATGGCATTCCATGGTGTGGTGAGTGCTTTTATAAAGAACCACTCCTTCCCTGGAAAAACCTTAATTGTTAGGAATATTTTGTAATACCCCCATGGGTAGTCGAGAACAATCAAGTCAACAAACGTTTATTAAACATTATGTGCCAGGCACTATGCTAATTGGTGGAGATACAAAGAAAAGCCAAAGACTATCATTGCTCTCAAGGCACTCACAGTCAAATGGGAGAGACAATAGGCGAAACAAGTTACATCCAGGATAAATTAGAAATAATCAATAGAGGGAAGGTGCTAGAATTAAGGATGATCAGGAAAAAGCTTCCTATAGAAAGCGGGATTTCAGTTGGGACTTGAAGGAAGCCAGGGAGGAATGAGGAGACAGAGCATTACAGGCATGAGGGAGAGCCAGTGAAAATGCCCAGATGCAGCATCTTGGGAGAGGAGTAGCAAAGAGTCCAGGGTCATTGGGTCACTGAGTATGTAGAGAAGAGTGAGGTATAAGAAGACCAGAAAGGTCAGGAAATGAAGGACTCTGAAACCAAATAGAGGATTTTATATTTGATTCTGGAGGTAAGAGGGAGTCATTGTTGTTGAGTGGTCAGACCTATACTTTAGAAAGATGATTTTCACAACTGAATGGAGAGAAGATTGAAGTAGGGAGAGATCTGAGGCCGAGAGACCAACCAGAAGCCTGCTGATTGACACAGTCCAGGCATGAGATGATGGAGGCAAGTACCAAGATGGTAGCAGTAGCAAAAGAAGGAAGGGGACATATATGTGAGATGTTATAAAGCTAGAGAAGAAAGGACTTTTCAACTGATTAGATTAAGGAAAGAGTGAGAGATAGTGAGGAGTCTAGATTGCAGGTCTGGGTGACTTGGTGGATGGTGGTATCCTCAACAGTAAAGGGGAAGTTAGAAAGGTGGCAGGGGTTGTGGGGAAGAGATAATCAGCCCAATTTGGGACATGTTGAGTTTAAGATGTCTACCATATATAGTTTGAGATGTCTTCTAGACAGTTCAGGATGGGAGACCAGAGGGCAGATTAATCACCCTGCCTCTTGTCACCTAGAACCCATAGTCACATATTCAATGAGACTAATCAAATATTTTCTGTAGCATACCTTCTAAATCCTTTGAAGTCATTTTCTGTCTTCTCTAATGAAATCATATTATCTCTTTTACACACCTCCAAATTCATTTAAAAAAAAAGTTTTGCAGAAGATTAGATTGCGGACGTCACAGGATCATGTCAAGTCAAGTCGCCAACATTTGTAAGCGCTACTATGTACCCAGCACTGGGCTAAGCTCTGGGGATACAAATATATAGTGCCTTACCTCAGAGAATTTATATTCTAAAGGGGAAGACAACACACAAAAAGTAACTGAAAAGCTGACACAGAGGTAAGAGGCTGGAGGAAGGCTGCTGGGGCTGAGGGAATTTCCAGTATCAAAAGGCACCTGGGGTATGGTAAGGAATTCTGGACAGTCAGAAGCAAAGAAAAAAGAGGAATGGAGAATGACTAGCCTGCGGTTCCAAAAGGAACCCACCAATCAGAGAAGGGGCCCAGAGAGGCAAAGGGATGTTCCAGGGTGAGAAGGCCATCTAATCCTACCTCTTCATTTTTTCAGATGAGGAAATTGAGTGTCTGGGAAGTTAAATGACTTAAGGTTAAAGAGATGGTTTCAGAGGCAAGAAATGAACCTATGTCTTTTGACTTGGGGCAGTGAGGTGGCACAGTGGGTAGAATGCCAGTCCTGGAGTCAGTAAGACTCATCTTCCTGAGTTCAAATCTAGCCTCAGACACTTACTAGCTGTGTGACCCTGGGCAAGTCACTTCACACTGATTGCCGCAGTTTCCTTATCTGCAAAATGAGCTGGAGAAAGAAATGGCAAACCACTCCATTATGTTTGCCAAGAAAACCCCAAATGGGGTCAGGAAGAGTCGGATGGGACTGAAACGATTGAACAACAACAACAGTCTCTGACTTGAGAGCTAGTTTTCTTTCCACCATGCTGCATCACCCCCAGGGTGTTTTCGGCTGTTTAATGTATTTTTTGTTTTCTCTTGTTTTCATTAGTGGCTTGAACAATAATTTTTCAATGACTCGCAGCTTCAGCAGATTCTATTTAAAAAACGGGATTAGAATCAAAACAGCCTCGATCAATTATAGGAAGGACCAGTTATGAAGAGAATTTGAATCAGAAAGGAGGAGTGCAGGCCAGAACATTTAGGAGAGAAAAGAGACTCCAAGTACTTAAGGTAGAGATTGATTATCTAAGTAAAAGCAGCATAGAAAAAGAGTGAGATGGGGCAGCTAGGTGGTGCAGTGGATAGAGCTCCAGCCTTGGAGTCAGGAAGACCTGAGTTCAAATCTGGCCTCAGACACTTGACAGTTACTAGCTGTGGGACCTGGGCAAGTCACTTAACCCTGACCGCCTCACCAAAAAGAAAAAAAAAAGAAAATAAAAAAGAGTGAGATGTCATAGTGGTCCACAAAATGACCGATAATAACCAAAA